CTATTTCTCCCTTCTAGTGTGCCCACATTCCCCCACATCTTAGTACAATCGAGCCATGCATGCTTTGTTCTGCAATTCTGCTGTTGTTTGACCTTGGTAACCAAGCTCCTATTTCACAGACCTGCAGATGACTTTTAACTCAATCCAATGAAGTTGGTTCCCCCCACCCCAATCTTACCTTCAGTAATGCAGCCCTGGGCCCCTCCCCTAGGACCTAGGGTTTGAAAAGGGGGGTGCACATGGTGAGTTGCAGGATTGCAACCCCCTTTCTAAAACCTTAAGTCTGCCCAAGAAGTGAGGTAACTGGGTCCTTCCATCCCTACCAGTAGCTCAGAGCTAGGGAAGCTGTGCCCCTTCAGGGCATGGGGGCAGGCCTCTGGCTGCTCTAGGGCTCTCACTGCTGCTGTTTCTCCTGCCCTGTGCCTCATGCCTTAAAGCAATGGAGTAGGGCAGAGCAACTGGATGAGGGGTTAAAATGCTTTAATTTTCCTGTCTCGGGCCAGATCCGTTCAGACTGTTACTAGCCGAGCAGAGTGCAGTCGTCCAAGTCTTAGCGGCGCTACCAGCGGCAAGTCTCCTACCTCCTAGACCAGCCTGGCGCTACAGGTGCGCCCAAATCCATGGCCGACATCCTAGTGCAGGCCCCAGCCCGGAAGCCTTGGCATTCAGATACCCCCGAGTCTGACTCGCCCCGAGGCACAAGGCCAAAGGAGTAAGTTGGGGGAAGTCTCCATAACAATAAAGCGTGCAGCCGAAATCCCCCAGCAGACTCCTGTTGGCGGTGACCTTGGCCCAGGGGAGGCAGTGGTACAGCCCGCCCTGCCCGGCTGGCGCGCCACGTCCCTCGCAAGCACCCATCCCCCGGGGCTCCTGCTTTGCAGGCTCAAGCGCAGCTAGTGCCAGGCAGCAGCCTGAATCCCGCCTCGCGCCTGGCCCCGCCTCTTCCTCGCGGCTCTGATCAATAGGAAGCACGGACCCTCCCGGCAGCCAATGAGATCGCGCCGGGCTGAGCGGGGTGAGGCTACGGCAGCGGGCGGGGCGCGCTGTGCTGTGCTGTGCTGTGCTGTGTGGCGAAGTGCCAGCGGGTCAGTGCGATGCGCCTTTTGCCGGCGGCGGCATTGAGGGGCGGGTCGCCTCACGGCTTTGAGTGCCCGCAGCTGCGCGGCCGGCCCGCCCGGCTCGGCTCGGCCTGGGGCGAGGTCGTTGCTCCCAGCGGCCGGGCGG